CTGCTTTACCTAGCCAAACTCCACAGCCCATTCAACCAGAAACCTCTACCAACCAACAGCCACCACCCACAGCCAAAAACTCTAGCATGGTCGAGCTAGACGCAACATCCCGAGGCATATCTCCCAGAGATACCAACCGAGGAGGGGATGGAAGTCTTGATGATGTTACCACTGGTACATCTTTTACATCAGGCCATCAGTTAGAACCCCGTTCAAAGCTGATGACAGCGGGAAATCCTAGTGAACCCGGTGTTTCGGTTAACAGGCCTCCGTCTCCAAAAGGTCAACCTGCCACTACCATTCTGTCGTCAGATGAAATGCATGATCAGCTAGAAGATATCATTATTCACGAAAAATGGCCCAGACAGTGGACAGAGATGGATCAAATCATGCAGGATGAAGAGTGTGAAGATACGCAGAGAAACTGGTTTCTACGAGAACTCATCAACAAATGTGCTGAAGATATAATCAGGCTCGAGGACGATGAACGAAAGGAAGGGGAGAACTACAAGGAATCTCAGAAAACACTTGAATCTGTCGTCAGACAATCAGCGGGAAGACTTCCCAAGACAGAGAAACCTTGGGACAACGTTCGCATCAAAGCCCCCTTCCAAGAGGAAATCAGAGAGCGTATTTGGCGTAGACCAGACAAAGTCAAACCGTTGAATGAACTGAAGCTACGAGGCCTTACCCATCTCAAAGGAAAGCAGACTGGAGGTCATCTACATATGCTGTTGCAAAGGTCAACCGGTACTCAAAGAGAGCTGATGGAACAAAACTTGAAGTCCAATATTCTCCCGATTCATCAAATCCTGCAGGTTAAGGTCGATGATTATCACGGAGTGACATTCTATTCATACAAGCTTCAACGCACTGACGGGAGTGAATTTACTTGCCAAGAGAATGATTTCATCATGCTTAAACCAGACGACATCTATCAAATGTTTATGGCCTATTGATACCTTCCAGTCAGACAAAGCAAAACATACAGCGAAGGCCTTGCAGCAATCAAGAGATTCATGCTCAGACAAATCAGAGTGCACTCATCTCACGACCTACAGATGGCTATTGAGTGCAACTTGACAAAAACAAATCTTACAAAGCCAAGACTGTATGGTCCAGAACTCGAAGACTTCTCAGCTTACCACATCTTCTTCACACCGCCAGCAGTAACATATCTCAACCACAAGAACGAAAAATGACTGATGGTGGTCAATGAAATTGAGAAATATTGTGATGGAACGTTGAAGATAATCAAAGAACAACTTCTAAAGATGAAGGCACAGCTAGAGAAAAATCTTCAGGAGGCATCGTCATACATTCAAAAGGAACACTCTACAGTGGAGACCATTTTAAAAGCCATCGACGATCGCCTAGAAAAGAGAAACATGCTTAGGCAATACGAGCATACACTGAATATGAGGAAGCACTATTTCAAATCACAGAAGCAATAACTAAGTGGCACTTGATCACAAAGGGGGAGATTGTTGAAGATCAGTTAATTGTGAATCAAGTTTGTCATCTATTTTGTAATAGATTAGCTTTATTATTATTCCTTGTATTAAATAGGTGCATTGATTAGATAGAATATGGGCCAAGTGTTAGGCCCATACAAACAGGCTAAAAGCCTTTTACGCCTACCTGAACCTCGCCTATAAAAAGGGAGCTGAGGGTTCAGGATTAGGTTAAATTTCGTACTTGTTCATTATAGCCTTACGCAAATCTTTCTGTGTACGAGTTCACGGTCTATCAAAGAGGGTTTTACATCGATTCATCTTGTTCATCTTTACGTTTAATCTTCTTTGTTAGACTGCTATTCATTGCTGTTACAGAAACAAGGACTATCACAGTTTCACTGTTGTCCATTCTCTAGATCAAATCTTGCATCCTGAAATCCATTCTCGTGCTCCTAAAAATAGTTTTGATAATGTTCTTTCATCCACACCTTCTTTTAATGCCGATCATGATAATGTTCTGTTCAATGAACATAACTTTGAAGAGCACAGTTCATGCAGTGGTGTACGTGGTGAATGTTTTGATGAGGACTCCCTTTCTTCTAGTTCTGAAAGTTTAGAAAATCAATCCTCAGATGCCTTTGTGTTAAACCAGAACTGTGATGTCATTGCACATTATTCTCCTATTAAGCTTGTGCTCCATGCTATCTACGCGAACAAGCAAGATCTACTATATCACCTTAGACTGTACGCGATCAATAATAACTTCCAATATTGGACAAAGACTTCAAAGAAGCATACATTGCATGTAATATGTCTGGACAAAAAGAATTGTAAATGGGTTGTTCGTGTTGTTAGACTCAAAGGTGTTTAACTTTTTCAGATTAGAAGGTATATTTCTTATTTCATTCATTTTTTTAGTTGTTTGTGATGTTTTTTAATAATCTTGCATCGTGTGTTTCCTAGTTCAAAATTGCATTGCTTGAGTGTACTGCCAGTTAACACATTGTATTTTCAAGCATGTATATTGTCCTCTACTTCGTACTTCCAACTGTTTTTGTATTACTTTCATACTGTATGTGTACAGTCAACAATCGCTGCCATGCATGTACCTTGTCCAGTACTTCATATATCCACCGCTTTGTATTTATTCTTTGTTCTTTACATATAGATTTGATGTTGATCACACTTGCTCAATAGACTTTAGGCAAGGTGTTCATCATAGGTAGGCCAATTCTGCAATGATTGATGAGGTTATAGCTCATCAGTATATGGATGCTTCCAAAAAAAACCTATACACCTAAACAAATCAGGGATGATTTGTTGTTGAAATATGGAATACCGATCTCATACAAGAAGTCGTGGGCTGCAAAGAAGTCTGCCATGAGAAAACAGTTTGGTTCAGATTCAGAGCAATACCAATTGTTGCCGTCGATGGTCTATATACTTGGCCAAGCTAATCCACGATCTGACGTCTTGCTCATTAGAGGAGATGATGACGTCTTGCAATGTATGGGAACATTGCATTCCTGTTCTTATTATCGATGGTTCTTTTATGAAATCCTACTACAAAGGGACGTTACTTACAGCGTGCAGCCAAGATGCAAACACAGATTGTGCCTTTAACGTTTGTTGTATGTGATTCTGAGAGCACTGACTCTTGGAAGTGGTTCTTTATGAGGCTCAAATAATGGCTTAAACATCTTGATGACATGTACATTGTGTCAGATAGACATAAAGGTATTATCAAAGCTGCAAATGCCATCTTTCCACACACTGCCCATGAGATCCAAATTTCGAGGTAAGTCATCCAACCATGGCTGGAAATTTAAAGCTGCATGGGAGGCTGCAACAGTGAGTGAATACTATGAATATTTGTCCATGTTGGATGAGGAAAATGTTAGGATTCGTACTTGGCTAGAGAAGATTGGAAAGGAAAAGTGGGCTCGAAGCACGGCAGTTAAGAGTCGATGGAGTTTTATGACCTCTAACTGTGTAAAGGCCATGAACAGCGTAAATGCCAATGCAAGAGAGTATCATGTTGCTAAGCTTTTGGATTTTCTCCGTGAAAGAATGCAAACATGGTTTACTGAGCGGCTGGAAGAAGCAACTTCATCAACTACTCATTTGACTCTGAAGTTTGAGAAACATTTAGTTTCATTGCAGAGGGAAGCTTCCAAGATGAGGGTACCAATTTCTTTAATTTTCTGATAGTTTCACTCTTTATTTATTTGCTGACAAGTTTATACTGACAAGATTATACTCGCAAGTTTATGTAATGAACATGTCAGTATCTTGCTCAAATAAGTATTGTAGTGACAACTTTGCTTTATCTTTCTGATGTAGTAATGTCCTTTTGTATATGTAATTCACATGTTTCATAAACCTTGATTTTTCAGGTCAAAACCATCTTGTCGTTACAAGTTTGAAGTTGTTGACAGACTTCGTAGATCTTTTATTGTCAATCTCATTGACCGAACATGTACTTGTCACGTGTTCCAATTAGAGCACTTTGTTTGTGTACATGTTGTAGCTGTAGCTGCCATATGTACACGTCCTGGTGTTTCTTGCTATGATTATATATCATATTGTTACACACGACAGTCTCTTGTGAAAACATACAGTGGTGTACAACATCTAATCGGTGATATATCGTCTTGGATAGTTCCGCATGATGTTAAAAGTATTCGTTGCAAGCCACCTTTATGTTCTAAGAGACAAATTGGTCGACCAAAAACAAAAAAGATACCATCAATTGGTGAATTTCGTGCAACCAAACGGAAAAAATGCTCTCGATACCATTCTGCTGGTCATAACAAAAAAAGCTGCAAGAATCCACTTACAATTGATTCATAAGAAAACTATTTTGTACTATATTTGTTTTTGAGTTTGATGTTAGTTTTGGTTACTTTTTCATTTCCATGTGAAGATTGAGATACATTTTTTACACAATGTTGTGGTTATTATCAAGATAGCATTTACTACTTTCTACAGTAATAGTATTATTTTATTTACTATACTCCCATGGTATGCAATAGTGTAAGAACTTACTGCCTTCGTAATGCCAGTATGATGTAAATACATACTGTCACCAAGTAGTGGCAGTATATGCAATATATGACATTACTATTCGCTTCAGAATTTATTTCTTCATTCGTTGTGGCAGTATTTAATATTTCCATTAATGAGTATTGCCTTCATTGATGCAGTGACATTATACAATTTTCGCTTAACTTCCAATATAGTACTTTATGCATACTGTCTTCGCGGTGGCAATATTTACTGTCATCTTTCAGTCATAACTTCCAATAAGTTGCAGTTCTAACCATTCAACATGGCAGTCTTTATTATTAATATAAATAAGAAATAAATTAATGACAACATTTTTCACTTATGTCAGTATTTTCAAATAATGACAGTAAGAAGTCCTATTTTGGAATTCTCAAAGTTGTTTACTCATATTTAGAGCAATTTGCATTAAACAAATAACATTAACTATGTTAACAAGAGTACATCAACAATGTAAATGCAGTACAAATATGAAGTACAAATTTCAAGATGTTAACCAAATATAATTTAAGTAAAACACATAAGTTTCTATAGTCTTATTTGCTAAACAAAAAACAAAATGTTAGAAATGTGATTACAAAGTCAATTATTCAGTACTATATATAAGCAAGTATAGCTTCTTGCTTATTTCACTAAATCTTTCATCCTCCTTTTATTGTACATCATCAACTCAGTTGCCATTTTATTCCTGTAGCTTGGCATGTTTTCAGCTTTGATTTCAGTGATGTCCCTCCCCATCATCAAGAATTCAGCAAACTTTAGCATGAACATTCCACAGTTGCCACTATATTACAAATAATAGTGCATTAGAATAAGAAATATTGTTATTTTATTTTAAACGCTCATTAAATAATTGTGAAATTTGAATAACAATTGCTTATCTCACCAGTCATTCTGTTGGGGGCAGTTTTCTACAGCTTCGATATGAAATTCTTTTTCACCCATATTTCCACCGTCAAATGCTTCATACACACCATACTTGTCCATGATTTTTGGCAGTAGGCTTTTCAAGCTTGGCATAAATTCACCAATATCTCGTAGTGACTCACCTCTTCTGTATTTGGAGTTATACACTTTCATCATCCTGGCAGGTAAATCAAGAACCACTAAGACCCAGTGATTTCCATTGTTCACTGGCATGTAAACAAAATCTACTTCAGACCATGCATTAGACAAATCCCCTCGAGTTCCTATGATTTCAGTCATTAATGGAAATATTAAATACTTGTTTTGTGCAATTAGATCATTCTCTCTTCTTAAGTGGCACACAAAGAAGGGGCTTGTTGTGGTGAACTTTTGAGGTAGGTTGTACTGTTTAGCTTTATATGTTAAATAATACATTCCCACTTCTATATGCTGTTGCATAAAAATATTTACATAGTTATTAGAGTACATTTTAATAAATAAACATATTTCAAGTAATTAATGGATCAATATGACATTGAATAGTTCAATTAAAACATACCGTGTCGCGCAACCATTCGGGATTGGTAAACAGCTCATACAACCATGTCTTTGAATGGACAATCATACAGTCCAACAGGAATGGCTTTACATGCATGTTTTCATCTTGTTTCTTATATTGTATAGAGCCTGTATCGCGCTTTCTGTTTTTCAGCAATCCAACCTTTAAATAAGCTGCCACTTTATCAACCTCATGTTTTTCTAGCATTTGCTTTGGATCTTCAGAAAATGGACCTATGCAGTCTTCAGTTACCGGAAACGAAGTGTTCTCCACCTTCTTCTTCGCCTTTTCAATCTTTCTTCTTTTCTTCTCCACTCTTCTCTTTGACGGTGTGCAGCGTTCCGGAGAACTATGATTCCTTTTAGATCTTTTTACAGGTGCAGCATGAGCTGTCACAATCACAGCTAAAGGTTCTGGTTCTTTGTAAACCTGTATAATTTTACACTACATGATCATGTGTCAGTACACTTTGAACTTTATATACTATGACTGCCAAAAGATCATACATATGCTCATTAGTTACTGACATGTTGTGTCCGTAGTTTTGGCATTAAATATCAACTACACACTATTACTGTCAATATAGTATGTAGAATATTTGACACTCATCACCTATTATGTGTTACAGCCAACTTGATACATATTCATTTTCTATATTGTCATGTTTGACAGTACATCAAATATTTGGCAATACGAAATAAGTGCATCACAATAATGTCAAAAATCTATGTAAAAGAGATATACCTTATTGGTAGCACCGTCTTCTTCATTCTTTGAATTTGTTTCTAATTTCCTTTTAGCCTCTTCCATTTGCTGCAATATATTTAGATATTAATAAAAATGATATGAATACATTGAACAAGTTTTGAATTTCATACCATTATGGATTCCTCAATGGTTGTTTCTGTTGACTTTTCTTTGCTCTTTTGAATGGTTTTGATAGCCAGCTCATCCACTTTGAGCAGCTCATCCTCATCAAAATCGGTGTCATCGTCATTCAAATTTTCCCAAATATGTTCTCCAATACCATTGCCAACATGCACTTTCTCATTTGTGTCATGAACAACTGGCTCTTTCGTAGTGCTGTCACGGGCATCATTGAAGTCTGCTAATCCTTCCTCATCAGTGGGTTTTCCATGTTGTTCCTGTGAAGAAAAACCAAATATGTTGAAGGATGGTCTTTGAGAATCTATCGCATTCTCAGACACTTCAATATTCTCTTTTTCACTATCTTCCTCTGCCATTGCTTCCTTTTCATTAGACCTTTGATTTTCATCATTCTGTAACAATTCCCCAACATCATCAACCTCTAGCTCTGTCTGTTTATCATTCCCTTTCTCTGCATCCATCTTTCCAATCACATCCTTCTCAGTGCCATTTTCTTCGATTTCAATGTTCCCACCTTCATCACATTTCTCTTTTTCATTTGTTGCATCATGAAGCACCACTTCATCTTTTTCGAAGAGACATTGTTTTTCCCCTTCGCTTACTTCCTTAACTTCATCTGTCACCACCCGTTTACCTTCCAACCTTGTCAGTATTCTTCTCAATAATGACCCATGCTCTCTCTGGATATTCTTAATCCTTGCCATATCTGCCATCATGGTGTCAGTCTTCTTAACAAGGCTTGTCACTAATGATTCATCTTCGTCATCATCTTTCTTTCCCTTAGTGCACTGCTTTTTCAGTTTCTTTGATCCAGAAGTCACATTTTTAAGAGCAACACCCTTTTGAGACCTCGACTTCTTTTTATCCACCGTTGCACTTCCCATTTCAGTCTGCTTCTCATTGCAATCAACATCTTTATTATTATCTTTCATTTCTATCTCTTCACTGCAGTCCATTCCATTATTAAACTGCCAACGTTCTCTGTTGAAGTTCTGAAACAGTAATGCCAACTGCGGTATTTCCATCTCTTGAGTTGTTGCTTCTATGGGTTTATACTCAAACTGCAAAAAAGGAACACATGATATCAATATATTTATATAAAAATGAATTATGTATATTCAAATATTTCAATTGATACCTCATTGTTACTGACCAGGCTAAACTTGCAAGTGTACAAGTGCCAATATAGTAACAAATTTCGGTAAAATAGCGGGTCGAATCCACAAGGAAATGTTGTTTAATTCAAGTCCGAGAGTAGATAGCTTCAAATGAAGAAATGAGTAAAGTGCAGGGATTTTGATTTGTGTTTTATAATTTTCATTTTTCACTTTTTGTTCAAGAAGATAATTGTTAACTAATTTTGAGTTTAAGATGAATAATAACAACATTAGAGGCTTCGGGAATCACTTAAATGCTTTAATAGGGTTGAATATTAGTTCTTTACCAATAATTATGAATACGATGCCGCTAATATATCCTCAACTCCGATTAAGGCAGCGAGAGTGTGATTTTCGTTACGTGTAAGTCCTGTTACGGCTTACATTCATCTACCGAAAATCCCGTTGAATATTAAGACATCACACCCGTATCATATAAGATCAGATATATTTCTATTCTCTGTACTATATATGTTTATCCTTTAATGTTCATAGTTTAGACTTCAACGTTAATTGCAAGTATAAACTAAATTTAACATACTTCTATGTTGTACACCATAGTCATCAACAATCAATGTATAAAGGATAAATCACAATTTATTGGTTTAGAACTTTTATCAAACACCTAGTGGGCATAGAAGTTCATCCCTAGCCTTAGCTAAGAATTTAGCTTCCTGAGCTCATGCTAATTACAAAAGTGTAACTAAGAATAAGGAAATATAATAACATACAAGAAAAATTACCTAGAACCGATTGTAGAGGAGAAAAAAGGGCTTCTTCTCAAGAACTTGAAGAACAATAGCAAGAATGAAATATAAAAAAGTAGGAATTAATCTATGGAATGGAATTTATTTGTTTGATGAATTGAGCGCTTTATATAGACTAAAGAATGACATCTTTAGTCTATTCGAACCCAACAATCATGTATGGAAGGAATATATGATTAGCATCGAGGAAGATGGAGTTTTCCCATCAAAAAACAGTTTGCACGATGCTGTGTTTTGTGCAGAATCAGACCAAACCGTCGCTGGTTTCAGGCCTACCCGGCGCCGGGTAAGCTACTGCCAAGCGGTCTTGTGTTGAAAATCAAAAGACCGGCGCCGGTTTGGTGAAATTCCGGCGCCGGTTTTGTCCTGGGATTTAAGGTTGTTCCGCTATGAATTTGGACATGATTCCTTCACCAAAGTTGTAGATAATGAAGTCGTCTATCCACCAGAACTTGAATAACGTGATTTTATTCATCAAATCAAAAGACATGGATAAAACACTAAGAGGTATGCATCCTGAAATCCCACCAGCAACATCTGACTTTATTGGTTGATTGAGTCTTGATCCTTCCATATTAGGGCCATGACATCTGCATAACACTTGTACCTTATTGAGTTAACATTCACATGAAATTTGAATCGAGTGATTTTGAGTTCTCTACAATAAGTTATACTCGAATTATGGGCAGAACATCATCCTCTTGGTCCAAAAATCTCTTCATCGCAATGTTTTATGCTCTAGCTCTCATTCTGAAGGTAATTGCCCGATTTCTCTTCCTTTCTTCATTAAATACTTATATATACTTATGTTAAACACAAGTAAATATAACGTCTATCAATTGCACAATAGATTCAGACTTGATTTTTTAGTAAAAACTCATTTGAGTGTGCGAGGAATAACATTATCTTGATCTTCTTTCAACATGCAGATCCCAACTTTACTCAGTCCTAGCAGCATTTCAAATGCCCATATTTGCAGAGCAAACATAAATCCAGGGTTACATGGTCAGAATTACTGGTTGACAGTAGCTCAACACTTTTGCCTGCATAGTTTACCAAATCATCCCATATATCTCTTCCCCATGGATAGCTGTTACAAGCTTCCAGACCATCCAGCAGATTGACATAGTAAGAAAGCAGTCCTACTTTATTTTGGTTGCCAAATAGTCCATGCCCCAGCATATACAAGAGACCTAATTTAACACCATCATGCTCCACAGTTCCCTCATCATTGTGGTTGTATTGAGTAAAAGCATATGTGATGTTTTGTCGAGACACATAGCTCTTCCCATTGAAATATCTCTTCCACAAATCCCCATGCACATCATCCTGTATTTTTTCCTAACCCCATCCATCCTAAAATATGTCACCAGAGCAAAGTCATCTTTCGTAAATAATATCAAACTATTTCTAATGTTAAATGTGATATTCTCAGTCTCTACTATGTGATTGATGACCTCCTCAACATGGTTCCCAATAAGCCCCAACAACGACTGACCACTTACCCAAGATATAGACTCCATATCCAGTATCCATCCAAACATCCAAGTATAGTTCCCCTAAACTCAGTAATTTATCCTGCATTCAAGTACATTTTAATCGCCTTAACCACTTCTAGCATACTACAATAGCAGTTTATCTTTAATTTCTTCATCTTTGACGAGAAGTCCTTTTCACAGGATGTCCTTATTGCCTATGAACATAGATTTCAGTAATTAATTAATATTCAAACAATATGATGTTGTACATTCAGCATTGCAAGTCAATCAAATGATGTACATTGATCAATTCCTAAACAACACTAAGAAATCGTCAATATTTTAAAAACAGAGCATGATAAAAAAAATTATACCAGAAATACATAGCAGCTTCGTGGTCAAGGCATTTCTTCATTCTGTACTCGTCGAGTTCGTATTGTCCATTATTGACGACAGTAATGGTGCTTTAGCCGCCGGTTCTTACTTTTCTATTCTCAGCGCCAATCTCTTTGATTTTCTTTGAGTACATTTGCTGCACAAGTTGGGAGTATGCATTGCTTCGAAAGTAGGAGAGACTCAAAGTAACTGCCTCAGGATGAGAGAAGCGCGTATATTTGGGTATGGGAAATCGTGCAACGGCGCGTATTAGTTGAGGGTATATTGACTTGGTCCTAGCGAAAATTGACATCCGGATTGCTCCCATTATGAAATTTATGAAGCTAAATAGTCCCACTTAAGGAAAATTCCCTTCATACGATGAGGCAAGGTGCCATGTTTTTGCATGAGAGTTTCACAACTCTATGTGTTTTTAGAATTTCCTCTTGAAACTCACATGTTTTTGTCTTTTCCTCCGATACAGAATACCGAATAACAAACATTGTAATAGGTGGCCATCTCCCTTTACACCAATTAGGGTTTTTTGTTCCACCGAGCTTCGTTCACGTGGCTTGAATTTTCGTGGAACGTGAGCTTCGTTCGACTTTCCGCTTGGGAGTTTCGCAACGACAAGGGAGGTGGGGCGTGGCTTGGGTTTCTTCTGCACCTCGGACATGAATTTCAATGGCAAACTTCAAGGAGCAAATTGGCGAGCGCAAGAAGGATGAGACTTCAGGCAAAGTTTCAGAGTCGACTACCACAGCTCATACTCCTCCGGAATCACCTACGTGCGAGGAAGCAATTTGGAGAATTTTTTATCTTTCATATTATTTTTATCTTCCTTTAGTAGTACTTGTTTCAGTTCGAGCATACATGTGTGATTGGAGTATTTCGATTTTTGGAGAATTCTTGCTCGTTTAGTGTTTTAGGCTTTTCAGAACTCTAAACTTATTCCTAACGCTTAGGATCGGAGATGCAATAGGTGTCTAGATATTGTCTTACATGTTTGCTCTATAGAAATGAAAGTCAATATATAAAAAAACATTGTATTCATCGTCGTACTATTACATAAATCACGTAAATTTACATTTTAATAGAAAAAGGATGCAAACAAGAAACACATAATCAAGGATGAGAACCGAAAATCAGTTTTTGGAGAGCAGAGGTGGATTGTGACGATTGGAGGGGAGCTTGATCTTGTGGGGAGATGTTTGAGGAACAAGAGTGATATTCTCACAGTTGCAGATCTCGATCATGAAGCCGTCGGGATCCTTGAAGAACAACTGGTCGATGGAGGCTGCTCCTCCTCCCCCCACCGTTCTTTTTTTGTATTCTACTCTAAGCTCCTTCAACCGCCTCTCCACCGCCTCCATGTCGTCACACTGCACCACCGTCATTCCGTCAAAGAAAGCAGCCAAATAAAAATACAAAAATTTGTGAACAACATCCTAGCTTATAAATGATACACATAAGTAGTAGTAACAACCTTTTTATATACTACGGTGTACGGATATAACTCAAAAATAAGTAGTGCATGTATAAAAAATGGGTTTTTATATACCATCTTTTTAACGGGAAAAACCGTGATCCGAAAAAACCTTGTCCAGACCCGGACCCAAACAACCCGGACCCAAACAACCCGACATACCCGGAAAATCCGGCCTTGATTGTTTTCCAAAAAAGTTTTTTTAATCTTAAATCATTTTTAATCAATAAAATTCAAATTTCATTAACCTAAAAAGAAAAACTATGCAATATATTTATATACTTGGTACTACTTACCATGTATTTGTTTAAAAATAAAAATCATGTCAAATTATATACTACATGTTGAATTAAGATCAAAACAATATTTTAGAAAATTGTGAGGCTATTTTGACATTAAATGCTTAGTAAGTATTATCAAGAGTTGATTACTGAGAAATAATTACCTTTTATTTTAATTTTATATATAATTATATGTTTAATTTACTTCTCGTATTATTATATGATTGACCAATTTTATGGCGTTGGCCGGGTTGACCCGACTAGGTGCAGGACCCTTGATCCGGTCACGTCATCGAATCGCTCCCGGTCCGATTTCTTAAACATAGTGATGAATCACGTTATCAAAATATACTCAAAGTGTTGCGGTCCTTTGTTTTTTTTAATTGAAACAATCTAGTTTTCATGTTCGATAACGTACAAGTTTGATCATTAATATCTTTCATTCCTTATTAGTAAAAAGAATTACAAATTTTGGATTTTGAAAATTCAAAATGAGAAAATTTAACAATATTTTTTAAAATTTGATTTACAATACATTGATTAATAAATAAAATAGAATCAAAATAGAACATTGAATAATGATAAAGTCTAGTATTGAATTTAAAAGAGAACAAAAGTAATACTAGTACTAAATATGTTTATCATCAAAATATGACTTATTTAGTTCCATTTAAAAATATCTAGGCCTAGGGTTAAAAATTAAAAATATAAATTTATGAACGTACGTACTTGGAAAGAGATGTGGTTATCCATGGGATCAAGCTGACGGTGATCTGTCCGATGATTGGGAAGCCCATCTTTGTTATCGTTAGCTTGCACCAAATGAATCCCGACGCCGTAGTTGAAGAGCCACGCGCCGTCGAATTCGAACGCCGGCGGCCGCTCCATCTCCACCAGCCCCAGCACCTTCGTGTAGAATTCCACCGACTCCTTCACGCACCTGCACAGCCTCGTCACGTGGTTTAGCGCCATGGATGGAATCTGATCGCCGCCATCTTCTTCTTCATCACATCTTTCTTCTTCTCTCTTACGGGTTCGATTCTCTTCTTGACTACTTGTGTTCTGCCCGCCGCCGCTTTTCTCCTCTTGCGTCTGCATCTTCCGGTGATCGACCCGAATAGTTGCCGGCTAGATTGCTGCAATATTCCGGGCTTTTAAAGAATTGGTTCTTTAATGGCGCCATGGCGGCAATAGAATTGAGGTTTGGACACGTACAGAGTAAGCGCATGAATATACGCTATGACGTGTAAGCAATTGATGTTGTGCTCCGTCTGCGTTAACATGTCCTCTGTAGTTCTTTCTTGAATTTAGAATTGGTCTATTTTCATAGGTATAAATAGGGATGGACGTAAAAATAGAAGTGAGCCGACCTATAATTGTGCGGAACGAATAATGTCGCTTTCCTGACGGATTAACTTTCTCACCATCCTATCGGATCGGGATGGTCGGATGGGGGCTCCTGGAGTGAAAGATTTCACCTTTTGGACCAAGCGGAACGAATAACGCCGTATTTAAATGGCTCTACAGATCTTTATCCTGAACCGAAATCGTACCGTACCGGTCTATTAAAAAATAATGCATTTGAAGTTTTATACGAGTAATAGGTATTTGTTTCCATATATGCAATAAATCTCTCTTTTAGACAAACAATTTTATAGTCATAATATGTATTCATGTGCCCTAAAATAGCTAAATGTGTGTTTATATAAATAACGTTAATTTTTCCTTTTAAATTATTTATGTTATATTTTGGTATATATTGAAAGAATGTTAAAGTTTAAAAATCATAAACGACTTTTAATTTCCAGAAATATAATGTATATGACATTTAATTAGTTGTATCATACTTGTCTAGTTTTACAACTTAATTAATACAAGTATGGTTTAAATCTTAGCTCTAACGGTATAATTATAAATTAGAACTAATATTCGACCTAAAACAAAGATTTTTTTTTAAATTTTCAATTATATTCAACAATTTGATGATATTTTTTATATTTTAGCATGAACGTAATAAATATAATATTTATCTAGTGTATCGTCATTTGCTGAAGATGATATCTATTAATTTCAAGATTAGTTTAAAAATTTTAGCATTAGTTTGACATTGTACCATATTGTTTTGCAAATTTACCAGACCATTCGGATCGCGTCCATCAGTAGTCATAAATACACAAAGACCATATAAACATCTATCAGACCAGATCATATTTAAATACACCGGACTAGACCGATACATTTCAGTTCAATTAAAAATGGCACGACAAAACGTTTTGCAAATCATCCTTTCTAGCCCAATACTTTCTAGCCCAATACTGTTTCACTTTATTTAGTTAGAATGATTTGCAAAGTTAACTTTTACTATTAATTATAAGCAATTTTCAGAAGCGGAGGGACACTGATTCCAAATTTATTTTCACTTTTAAAAGAGAAGTAGAAACGTAATAAATTTCAGACACCCATTCATTTCAATAATTCAATGACATGAGCTCGCTTGTAAAAAAATGTCAAAATACAGAGCATGGATTAATATCACTTTCATCTCTAACATTTTCATAAAATACTCAAAAATACGTAAACGTTTTGTACATAAATCAAGTTATACACATATAATCCGGATATGTAAATCAAGCTAGTTATTGCCGGTCAATCGAAGGCCATCAACAAGTCTATTTCTTGCTGCCAAAACTTCTAAAAACAGATAATCAATCTTCTGTCGAATTCCATCCAACCTCTCCTCAAACAACTGAATTTGTTTTCCCAGTTCTCCGGCAACATCTTCTCCGGCAGCCGCCGCCGCGAGCATGGCTGCAACTGTTTTATTTATCTCTCCCACCTCCTTCACGACGTTATGCTTCTTCTCCATGACTTCCTGGTTGAATCTACAATCCAACCCCAACAGTAAAGGCTCGTCATGACCAGATGAATCAAGAGCTGATTTTCTCAATTCCAAATACGGCCTTATATCACTACACAGCGCTGATAGCACTGCCCCCAAAATCCATAAAGAAACGCCTTTTGTGATCTTCATGGCTTCATGAATAACTCTTTCTTTCTTGTCTGTGTAATCCGTGCTTTCTTGCTTCATCCCTGTTAGTTTTCAAAACAAAAATTACATTCTTAGGTCATATGAGGACTTAACAAATGATAATATAGATTCATCTAACAGATTCTCTGAAAAATTCCATATAACCTGGCGCCAAAATTGAAAGTTTGAAACCGAGTTTTAATACCTGAAACTTTGAAATTTCCCTGGAGATCCATGGGCTGAATTTTTCTGAGATGCTTTGCTGAAATATCTGAATGGCTAAGACCAATGGAAAGGGATACCCTAGCTTGATTCAAGTGAGAAAGGGAAGAGCTAACGCAATTCAACAGCCCCAGAAGATCAAAGCTGAAGTTCAGATACTCTTCTGTAATTTCTTGGCCCCAAGAACAGTCGCCGCCGCCAGACGGTTGTGCTAGATCAGCCGCCACCGTCTTTTCGAAGTACTTGTGAACCAAAGACAACGCGTCCAAGAATGATTGAACCCTTCCCAGAGTCCAAAACTCTGATTCCGGCGGCTCCCCCCGGTGATCTGATTGGATTTGTTTCAAGAAACTCGATACCCCGGACCGGAATTCCGTCAAAGAAGCGTGGTGGTCGAGGGCGGGGCTCCGGCGGGTCGCCGGCTCGGAGGGGTTTTTTAGGAAATGGCTTAGCTTTTGCATCAAGACTACCATATCACAGTCTATGTGATTAGAAGAAATGTAGAGTTTTTTTGTCTCAAGAAAAGACTACGAAAAAAATGTGTGAAGAAGTGTACTACAGAAAATAAGAAATGAGGTTTTTATATCCTGGGTGGAGCAAGTTGGTGGGAAGAATATGGAATATAGAATTCGCCAAACCGAGGGCAGGCAGTGGAAAGGCCGAAAGGGGTTTCAAAATCAGGGGAAATAGTCAGTCCGGTCAACTCATCTTATCCATCTCAAACCGATCAACAATATGATGTTGGAAGCCGTACAAACAACGTCAAAACTACAGAGTCAACTTCTCTCCATTTCTCATCTTATCCATCTTATTCATTTCCTTTTTTCTTTCTATCTATCACTACCTTTTTCTCTATCTTACTCATCAGCATACCTTACAATAATTTCTCTCCTTTCTATCTCTCTCCAACTGGAAGTATCCAATTACTGGAGAGGATCCAAACTCAAAACTACAATACTAATAATAATTTAATTATATGATAAGATACGGCAAGATTATAATTATGGAAATGTACTTGATAGAGTATATCTAGAGAGAAGTGAGAGCTAGAGAGAGAAGTGCAGTAATATGCTTCAATAGAATGAATTTGTAACCCCTATAACTTCTCCCAAGGGGAGTATTTATAGAGAAAATACGGGCTGGGCTCCCAAGCCTTGGGCTTGGGAGGCCCATTTACAACTGGACCGCTACTGGGCCGAATACAAAGCCACTAATGGGCTGTACAAATGAGTAAGTGTAAAATCCGGTTCTGTGAGGTCTTCGTGGCCGACGAGGGCACGGCCGACGAGGGCGCGGCCGACGAGGGCACCCGGGTTCCTTGGATTCAGGACCATATTCTGAGTTGGCACCTTTTCGGCCGAAGGGGGTCCCTTGGCCGACGAGGGCACCACTCAGTGTCTTGTGCTTTCTGCTCTTCTGAGTATGTGGGTCCGGGGGCTCGGACCCATATACTCCATCAGGAGTCCCCCACTCTCTAAGCTGAGGTGTAGACGAAGTGACGGAGAGTAGATTTCCCGTGCTTTAGTGCTTCTGGCCGATGCGGGCACTCCCAGGCCGTTGGCTGTTGCGGCGTTGGCGCTGTTTCCATTTTGGTGATCTTGTTCTGTGCTTGGCCGTTACCTGTTCCTCGCTGTGGACGGGGAGGTCGTTGTTTCCTTGGTGTGTTCGTTTGGGGATGGTGGGTGTCCTGCTTCGATGGTGGCCGTTGAAGGCGCGTTTTCCCTTTCTTGGACGTTGATGGTTGAGATTTACATTTGGGCCAATGAGGCCGTTGGGGTTGAACCTTGCTTCGAGGACGATGGGCGTCCTTTCCTTTGGGTGGCCGATGAGGGTGCTTGCGCACTCCTTTTGGGTCGTCGCTGATTGGCTTTCGTGTTCTTGGCCGAAGAGCCCATTATGATTAACTGTTGGCGGAGGACGACGAGTGTCCTTGCCTTAGGTGGCCTGTTGGCCGTGTATGTGCCTTTGGCCGGCGAGGCGCCGTGTTGTCCAAAAAACCTGGCCGGAGATGGAGTCACGAGAGCCTTGGCGCCGTTGTGATGCATGGACGATGTGACCATGCTTTGTGGTTGCATGTGTTCTTTGCATTTTTCCTGTGTGTATTGTTGAGGCCGATGTAGTCCCCCAGTCCCCCACTGCTTCAGGCCGAAGAGTGTGAGGGGTGAAGGAGTTGCTTGAGTCCCAGGTCGAAGCAGCCTCTCCGTAGTGCCCCTGAATCCAACCCTTATGGCGATTTTCTGGCCAAGGTAACCCTGTGGGAGAACCCTTGTGCGCAGATCGCTTGTAAAGAGTTATCATCGGGGGTCGTTACGAAGGCCGATGGCTGCGGGTTCTTTGTTCCTTTGGTTCTGTGGTCGTTACGGGCGTTCACTACGTTCCTAGCCGTTGTCATCTCCTTATCGCTGTGGAAGCATTGGGTGCCTTGGTCATTGTGGGTTATGTGAAGCCGGCAAGTGTATAGGCCGTAGAGTCCCCTGGTCGTTTTGGGTGTTTTTTCCTTTCCCGTTCCGTAGAGCCTGATTTGCCAGCGGGCTCTTGATATGTAGGTTGGGCTTGGCCCATTGATGACGTGGTGGCCTCCCGTTGGTGGCCGTTGATGTGGCCACTAGGAGGGTGCCACGTGTAGTGACCGTTGGGTGGGGGTTCTATAAATACCCCTCTCCATCCGACGAGAATTCTCACTTGCAATCTGAGTTGTCGAAGTGCTGGCCAAATTTCTAGAGAGATAAACTCCCAAGCTTGTGTTCTTCGTGTTCAAGGTTAGTGTTCATCGAAATCCTCTCTGTACTTTGCATGTTTTGTTTCCTAGGTTAGTGATCTAGTGTTAGGCCCTTGAACACCCTTAGATCTTGAAGTAGGCTGCAGTATACCCGAAATAGTGTTTAAGATGAAGAACTTCAACGAAGAGTACTATCCCTATGACGACGAGCCCTCTGCCCAGTCCCTTGATTATGAGCTGGTCGAGGAGTTCTGTGAGGAGCTTGAGAATCTGAGCTCGTTCAGGACCTCGGAGCCGGCCGAGGAGGATGGTGCGGACGAGGGGTCCGCGTCATCGTCTGGAGATGGGGACGCAGGTGTCTCCCGAACAGCTGATGGGGCGTCCACGTCGACTGCCATTCCCTGCCCAAAGCCTGTGTCTGCTGTGAAGGGCGTCGCGCCGCCGAAGAGGGTGAGGAGGCCGAAGAGAGGGCCAGCCTTCTCTTACTTGGATTTGACGAACATCTACGTTATCAGGCCGCAGAGTAATGCGGGTGAAAACCTGGTCGCCCAGATGTATGTGGGGCCGTATGGCAGGGTTAGGGCCCCCAGGCCGACGGACCATGTCCTTAATCCACCCCCGGGCTACTTCGGAGTGTACCCGATGAGTTTTGCTAAAGGACTTAGGTTCCCGCTTCACCCTTTTATCACCGAGTACCTAGATATGGTGGGGCTCCCTCCGGCCTTGTTGACGCCGAATAGCTACTCGCTCATCGTCGGCTTCCTCCTGCGGTGTGCTGAATTGGATTTCAGGCCGACGACGGCGCTGTTCATGAACCTATATCAGATAGGCCGCGGAAGTCGTCAGAATTGTGCGTCGTATGCCACTCTTCAACAACTTCCCAAGAAGAGGAGTTTCACGGACCTGCCGACGTCCATCCATGGTTGGAAGGGGAAGTTTGTGTTCGTGTCCTTGGGTGAAGGGGGGGTAGAGTTTCCCTCCGTCGGCCACACCGGCCGTTTTAATCTTCATGATACGCCGAGGAGCTCCATCCTGGACGCTCAGGTCGAGGCTTTCCTGAAGGGAGGGCCGAGGAGTGTGAAGACATATATTACCGAGTACAAAATGGCCGCCCTCGGCTTTGTACGGTATTTTGTGTATGGTGATCTTGACGACGATGTGGAGTTGTGGCCGAAGATGACCAAGTCTTATGAGGAGGTTGATGGTCCCGATCTGGGGGTGCCAGCTGAGGCCGATGGTGAGTCCCTTCTGATGCGCTTCCTCTCGTCGTACGTTTGTATTCTGTTTTTGCTGACCCTTAGTCTTTTTTCCTGATGCAGGTTTTGCGATGGATCGCATGTCATTTATGAAGAGGGCACAGCTCAAAGCGGCCGAGGAGCTGAAGGCCCAACAACCTGGAGCTGCCGCTGCGGCCAAGCCCCCGGTACAACCGAAGAAGAAAAGGCAGGCCGATGAGGGCCAAAAGAAACTGACCGAGGTGGGACTGAAGCCTCCAAAGAAGTTGAAAATTGCTTCCTCTGCCGGTGATGTTGGGACATCGGCTGTTCCTTATGGGGACGGAGGGGGTTCAGATGTTGCTGCCTTGGTGGACCACCCTTCGGGCCTGTCGTCCACCACTCTGTCCACCGTTCCTGCTGTCGTAACGGCCGCCCGGAAGAAAGGGTCCGGTCGAGAGCTGGTTAGAGGGACCTACAAGCTCGAAGTGGAGTACCCCGTCAAAGGGGGGCTGTTCAACGAAATCGTTGACGGCCACGAGGTGATTTCTCAGGCTATCCCTGACGAAGACCGGGCTTACCTGAAGAAGCTCGGCCATGTGAAGATGTACGATGGTGGGATGGACCACATCGTCCAAGTAAGTACTCTTGCTCGCTTCGTTTTAGTCTCCCCTCCCCCTTTGTTGTTTGTTGTGAAATATTGTCTAACCCATTTTTTACTGCAGGGTGCCTTCATGTTGATGGAGAACAACAGGAGGCAACAAAAGGAGATTGCTCGCCTGAGGCAATTCGAGCAAAAGGTTGCCTCGGCCGATGAGGCGCGGGGCAGCTTGGAGAGGCTGCGTCTTGAGGTTGAAAGCCTGAAGAAGAGGGCTGACGAGGCCAATCAGCTGGCCGCTGAGAAGGAGGGGGCTCTCCAGCGTTTGGCCGACGTGGAGCGTGCTCGCGACGAGGCCCTCCAGCGCGCGGAGGAGGCCGAGAAGGGCAAGGCCAGTGCAGAGATGGCTCTTAGCGCTGCCGAGGAGAAAGCCGCTGATGCCGCTGTGCAGAAGTTTCTTGAAGTCGGTTGGAAGGACGAGGGTCGGCTTCCCTTCTGTTTTGAGGTCGTGGCGGCCAGACTCGTTGACTGGGTGAACAAATCCCCCGACGGCCAGGCCTATTGGGAGAAGGAGATGAAAGTCTTCTACGACCTTGGCCAATACCGGATGCAACGGCTGTTGTATAGGAGGCTACAACGGCGTTTCCTGGATATCGGTGTGACCAAGGAGTGGGCCGTCGGCCTTGAGCTGCCTGCGTTAATGAAGCATCTTGAAGCAGAGTTGGAGCTTCCGGTGGCTGAACGGCAGCTCCCCATTGAGAGCTCACGCATCAGCGACGACTGGGCGTATGAGCGGAGCATGTTTGAGGATACCGCGACGTCGGGTGTCGCTGCCGGTACGTCTGTTGCCACGGCCGAGGAGGGAGCCGAGGCCGAGAGGGACTCTGAAGCCCCTCCAGAGTCATGATCCCTTGTAGTTTTTTTTCTTTGACTTTCTACTATGTAACGGCCTAGAAGCCCTCTTTGTACTTCCCAATCTAATGAATGAAAAGAAATGCTTCTTTCATACATTAATGTTTTCGCGTTTTCTTCTTTCCGTGTTTATACGACGTCCTCGTGTGGGTGTTGCCT